GTCCTATCACCCATAACAAATAAATTCGGTCACGCTACTGCTACTGTGAGGCTGTTCGTAAATTAATGGAATACACGTGAATGGGCGTGAACGTGAGCGATGGAGGGTGAGCGTGAGTCACGATAATTCGCGATTGGACGATCCTCCGCCCATTGCATCTGTTACGGCGCTTCACGTTATGGAACTAATCTCAGTATTCGAGCGCTGTTGCAGTATTACGTGTACTCGAGGTTTGAACATTCGACGGTTTTGTATTTTGTATTTTATTGTCGCGTTGTTAGAATGAAAACTAAAGAGGAAATTGAAAAAGACTTGGAAAGGAATATTTCTGACGAGAGATATAAATTTTTTAAGCATAAAAATGCAAAAAGTGATGTGTGGGTGAATTTTGAATTAATAGAGTTTGAAGGAGCTGTTCAAGATTTTGCACGGTGTAATCACTGTACAAAGATACTGCGATATGTTTCCAAAACCGGAACAGCAAGTCTCTTAAGACATAAGTGTTCTCCTTATTCTCTTGCCAGTAAAAGCAAAACAAACAGTGAACAACAATCAAATGTTATTGATGCAAATGACCTTTCACTGAATGTAACAGAAGGTAAATTTTATTTATATTTTTTATAACCTATTTTCTCCTTACAGAACTTCTTAGGTGAGCGATTCATTACATCTTTTTAAGACTTAATCAATTGGTTAAGTTAGGTAAGGTGGATGAGGTAAAGTGGTTTTTTACTCTATCTAAATATGTAGGTACTTGGAAATCGCCAGTATTAAGGTACAGAAATTTACTAAAATTTTAAAAGAGATGGAGATGGAGCGAAAGATAAACTTTCAAAAGATATAATTGTTAGACAATGGCTTGAATGTTCTAGCTTTTCGGCTTTACACGTGTCTGTTAGATTCGAGTTCAACAGACAAACTGTCTAAATCTTGAAAACAGCATGTAACGACGAGATAGAATTCAATATATAGAAATTCAGAATATACTAATTGATACATCCCTGAAAGGAATGATATTAGTAGACAGGTAGTTTACACCTTGTTACCTTAAAAATGAACTGAACTGAACCTGAAATTCTGCTGTCCGAGATTGAAGAAGCTGTAACTCACCTCAAGAAGAATAAATCCCCTGGCTGCGATGATATCACGGAGAGCTCCTTCAGAACATGGGAGACAAAGGATGTTACATAATGTGGAAACTTTGTAATAAAATTTGGAGATGCGGAAAGTGGCCCAGCGAATGGCGCACATCATTGTGCATACCAATCCATAAAAAAGGAACAACTACAAAGTGTAGTAATTATCGTACCATCTCACTGATTTCCCATCCAAGCAAAATATTACTAAGAATCATTAAACGCCGTTTGCAACAGTACTTAGACAACCAAATTCCCCAAGAACAAGCAGGCTTTGTCAAAGGGAAGGGTACGAGAGAGCAAATCCTTAATATGCGGCAGCTCATAGAAAAGGCCCGCGAATTTAAAATTCCAATAATAATCGTTTTCTAGACTACCAAAAGGCATTTGATTGTGTAAAGTGGGAAGTTCTCTGGACAGTTCTTCATGAGATGGGAGTTCCAGATCATTTGGCAATATTAATTAAAAACTTATACGAAGATAACTCAGTTAAAATAAGAATTGAAAACCAGCAATCTGATACCTTCAAAACCAGCAGAGGTGTACGACAAGGCTGCATACTATCTCCAGACCTGTTCAATTTATATGGAGAATACATAATGAGGAACGCACTCGATGGATGGAGAGGCGGCATCTCCATTGCAGGGAAAAAGATCTCAAACTTAAGATTCGCAGACGATACAACACTGATAGCAACATCTGAAGAGGAGATGTCGAGACTGATAAAGAGAGTAGAAACCGAAAGCAACAAGTGTGGGCTCAAGATTAATAATCAGAAAACAAAAATCATGATTGTGGACCACGCGAATATCCTCCAAACAACAGGCGCCCTAAATCAATTCGAGAAAGTAGACGAGTTCACGTATCTAGGATCTTCCTTAAGCAATGCAGCCTCCTGCCATACGGAAATTCGCAGAAGAATAGGAATGGCCAAGAACGCGATGAGTCGACTGTCAAAAATATGGAAGGACCGCTCTTTGTCCAAAAAACTCAAAATGAGACTGGTAAGGACACTCGTTTTTTCAATCTTTAGTTACGGTGCCGAAACATGGACAATAAAATCAGAGGATAGGAAAAGGATTGACGCATTCGAAATGTGGTGCTGGAGACGAATGCTACGCGTCTCGTGGACGGAGCACAGATCCAATCAGTCGATTCTCGAAGAGCTAAACATTCAGACCAGACTCTCCTCTCAGTGTCTTGCAAATGTTTTAAAGTTTTTTGGCCACATTGCGAGAAGAGACAATGACAACTTAGAAAGACTAATTGTGTGCGGAAACGTAGAAGGACGTAGAGGCCGAGGACGCTCACCTATCCGATGGTCAGATCAGTACAGAAAGCCACTGGAGAGACGTTTTCCGAGTCCATGAGAGCAGCCCAAAATCGCAAGAGATGGAGAGAATTGACAGCCCGCATTGTAGGGAATCACGATCCTCAGCAATGAGGAAACGACAAGAGAGAGAGACCTTAAAAATGTTGATAATTTAAATTCAATTTTACATCGTAAACAGATTCGTTTTGTGGAAGTAAAAGCTTAATAAGCATTGCCAAGTGAAACCCGATGTTTCGGTTTTGGTTAAAAAATTAAAAATACAAAGAAAATGCATTGAAAGAGCATTTCAACCTCACATATTTATGAGGCTTTATTCTTGGATCCTAATTTTAAAACAATAAAATTTCTCATTGAGTCAAGACAGATGAACAGTAAGGAATCGGTAAAGGCTTAAGCAAGTATTTTGATTGACCCAGTCTGAGAGACTTGCACATCCCTTAAAATGACATTCGGGTGTTACAATTCATTGGAGCGAGGTGTATTGATTTGTGATATCAGGAACCACTACATGCGCTCTAATGCTCCAGGCCATTCCTTTCCCCCTATAGCACTTTGATGCACGATAGGGGCACAATTATCAGTCAAATGCTTTTCGTGTGGAAGTCCTGGGTACAAGAACTCCAACACGATATCCTAACCCGATCAATGCAGGCTAACGTGAGGCGCTTTTTTCCTGCTTTTTCTAGTGACGTATCATCGAACTAAAATTGCTTACTCGGGCCTTGAGTCTCCGCTTCCCGCTGAGCCTAGTTCAGCGACTCGGTGGCAGGGGATGTGGGCCCTTCGTGACCAGATTTTGTGGTTTTATTAATTTTTTGGATGGCTGTCGCCTTCTTTTTAGTATTTATTGATTTTTTTGATGGTCAAAGCCTTTATTTATTTATTATTATTATTGTTTGAAGGTTGTTCTCAAAATAAACATCAATTAATAAAATTTCCAGTGCTGCATGCTGAGGCTTCTTCTGTTGGTAGAGTTACGAATTATCTAGACTTTATGTGTTTACCAGGATTTGCTGTTTTGGTCTTTTGTGCTACCATCGATGGAACGCATCATATCTTATTATTATTCGCAGGATCTTGCTTGGATGATTCTCTAATTCTGCAAACCTAATTCTGGTTTTTTCTGCCATTTTATCTATCGCTCTTACTTGTTGCAGTTCTCTTAACAGAAAGCGTTCAGCGACGTATCTGGGTACATTTGCCGCTTCTCCGAGGATGTTATTGTTTGCTGCTTGTATTTTTTTATTTGAATTGCTTATGTGTCCCCATGCGAGAGATGCATATGTGATTATTGGAAGTGTGATGCTGTTTATCAGTCTCATTTTTGTTTTTATGTACAGTTTTCTTTTCTACCTGTGTGTCCTCTTATTGCTGCTCTGGCTGTTGCTGTTATTTGGATGGTTGTATCCACGTGTTGCGTGAAGGTTAAGCCTTGGTCCATAGTGACTCCTAGGTATTTAGTTTTTATTTTTGAATATGATTGCTTGTGTCTTCTCTGAATTGATTGCTATTTTACATTGGATAATACCATGTTAAACAACGCTGTCTGCAGTTTGTTGACAGCTACTTCAACAAATACTTCACATTTGGTGGATTTCCGATGATACTGGAACACCACCATTTCAAAATGTTATAGAACAAAGATGCGCAACCGCACAATACTGATGCGTAATCCGACAGACAGCAGTAAAACTGTCGGACATGAAGTCGGGGCGATAGGGGATTAGTGCCGCGTGTAATGTGGAATCGTTCTTAACTTTCTAGACGACTCTCGTACATTCTTCATATTTCACTGATAAGGTGTAATACATATTTCACTGATAAGGTGTAAATAAATACAAATTATTTTATAATAAATACAGTAAATTACTGGAAATATATGTGTTGATGCATTCAAAATAGTATTTATGTCGTATAATTGAAAACTGTATCACAAATGGTAAAATAGTTTCGAAACACAATTCAGATTTCTGCTTTATAATCTGAGCCTTCTAAGAATTGCAAGGCAAACAGACGTTGATAAAAGATGTTAAAAGAGACATGGGGAATCTAAAATTTGCATTCCACGACATGTCTTTTACAACTAAGCAGAAATCCTTAGCGAATTGTGCTTAGTTGTAAAAGACATGTCGTGGAATGCAAATTTTAGATTCCCCATGTCTCTTTTAACATCTTTTATCAACGTCTGTTTGCCTTGCAATTCTTAGAAGGCTCAGATTATAAAGCAGAAATCTGAATTGTGTTTCGAAACTATTTTACCATTGTTTAATTAGATGTCGCTAGTGCGTCCGTATTGAAGCCATGTTATTGTTGCTTCTTAAAAGGCAGAAAATATTGATTTTTCACGTTGAGAACCCCTAAGAATAGATCTTTTGACGAGACCTATTAGGTCGAAATACGTATCAAGAGATACATAGGATTTGTTTGCGTGAAATCAAATATTTGCTGCCTTTTCTCATTGTATCACAAATGTTAAAAAAATTATTTTAATCAATATTCGACATATAAAAAATTAATTCATTTTCTTTTAGATGAATCCGTTAAAACTAAGTGGAAGACTTTAAGAGATGGCTACAATAAATATAAAAAACAGGTAAAACGAGATATTTCCCATGGAAAAAAAAGTCACCAGTATATCTGGAGCTCCCAGTTAAGTTTTTTAGACGATGTTAATGCTTCACATGCTACAACTTCCAGCAACACATCCTCAGAAAACAAACCATTACAATCTTCAAGAGAACCCACACCTTCTCTAGAGTCAAATGATTCACATAGCTTTGTAGAACTACAATCATTTAACTTGCCTGAGGAAGAAACGCCACTACAATCATTCAACTTGCCTCAAGAAGAAAAGTCACCGTCTTCAGTGGATATCGCGGCGTCTACATCCCAAGCTCCGGTAGAGACAAAGCAACCAAATCGCAAAAAACGACCCATACAGGGAGATGTAGATAAAGTTTTAGACTATTTACACGATAAAAAGAAAATAAAGCAAGATGGAATAGATCATTTATTTTTGAGCTATGCAGATACGTTTAGAAAATTGCCTCCAAGACACCAAATTCATATAAAGCTTGAATTAGCAAAATTGTTTGCGGATGCTGAGTTAGAATGCTTAGAAGAAACTGAAGAACCTGAAGAAACTGAAGATGTGAAACCGTCATTCATAGAAATATCATCACCGTGCCATCCTACAATAAGTTCCAGTAGTGTTAATCCGTCACAGCAACAATCGGAACAGCATAATTTATTTCAAGAGGTAGACCAACCTGAATACTATTTACCTGATAATTGTTAATATTTGTGTAATAAATAAATTTGTTTTAATATAATAATAAAAAATGCCCTTTAAATATATTCTTCTGAATCCCTTTTTGAATCTGTTCTTTGGTTCAATTACTTGTGAATCAAGCTTTTAACAACTAACAACCACAGTAGAAATAACTAATAATAGTGATAATAAGAAATCTATAATGGATAATAATAAAATAACAATTGAGATACCAATACGGAGATAATAGAGAATTGAAAGTATTCAGACGATACCTATTACTCTATGGCTGGTGTCATTCCCAAGAATCTTCTGGACAACATTGAATAGCTGCATCTTAGTGAAAATTTCTATAACATCATGCAAAAGGTGGTTCTTTTCGCGTCATCCAGAAGCGATTATCTTTTGGAAGATAATTCAGTATACTCTAGGGCTCCTTAACATGGAAAGAGCGTCTCCCGAATTCAATCCTTTTGATACCACAGGTATATGGGAGAAGTGAATTTTCTCCTTAGAGGAAGTGAAATCTTTATGGCTTAAATCTCATTAAAATAAAATAGAACTAAGCACTGGAATAAGAGATCAGTGGAGAGACAGCTCAAAATAGAGTAAAAAAGAACCCAATACTGCTTTTCCGATTAACAAAGCTGTATTAGAGGAGATGTGCTTATCTTGAATAATTAACAACGTAAAGACAAGAGAAACTGAGATCCTACCTCGAACTGTCTAAGTCTCTCCTCGAAATGATAAAAAATAATATTAAATTTGCCATAGATCGTCTCTCAGATCTCTTATACATATATTAAAACATGAGCCGAGTTGTAGGTGACTGCCATTTGTCGGTAACATCAAAGACCTTAACCATTATCGTGACACAAAGGACTGAAAGTTGAAAATGAACTGACCGAGGGTATCCAGATTCGCCATGGGGTCCGCCAAGGGTGTATTTTATCACCCTTGTTATTCAATTTATACAGTGAAGCTATCTCAGAATTAGCGCTTGCCGAGATCAGTGAGGGCCTTATAATAAACTGTGAGCCACTTAATAACATAAAATATGCTAACGAAACGGTCCTTCTGGCACTAGAAGAACTGCAACACCTGGCTGAACAACTAAATATATATATTGCAATGATTATGGACTAAAAAAAAATTGGAAGTTCATAGTATTTACAAAAGCACAAAACAACAAAGTTAAGCTAGTACTAGATAATACAGAAATTGAACAAATATCTTCGTACAAATACCTTGGAGCATGGATCACAGAAGATACTGATCAGACAAAAGAAATAAGTAGTCGCATTGAAATTGCACGGTCAACTTTTAATAGAATGAGAAAACTTTTTTGTAATCGCGATATCAATATATCGATAAGAATGCTTCGATGTTATATTTTCTTTACCCTTTTGTATGAGGTTGAAGCTTGGACACTTAAAAAATCCAACATTAAAAACCTAGAAGCATTCGAAATGTGGTGTTACCGACGTATTTTGAAAATATCATGGATGGATCGCAAAACAAACGAACAAGTTCTTGAACAACTAGGAAAACAATGCGAAGTTTTAAATTCCATAAAAATCAGGAAATTGGAATACTTGGGACACATCATGAGAGCTGAAAAATACGAACTACTAAGGAATATAATGCAGGGTAAAATTAATGGCAGAAGCGTAGGAAGACTTAAAATCTCGTGGCTACGCAATCTCCATGAATGGTTTGGATGCAGTTCAATTGAACTATATAGGCGCGTAACCAACAAAATTATAATTGCCAGAATGATCTTCAATCTGCGATAGTAGTGGAACTTGAAAAAGTAGAAGAAAAGACTGAAGTTACTGCATAATTTTTCCTTGCACGCTTAAATATAAAAATTATAGCTCCCAGGGAACCTGGATACCTAGATTGCTTATACTTACGAATAAGGCAATAGATGTCCAGACCATCAATAATGGTATATGGTATGGTATTATACCAGCGTCAACTAGGAGTGGCAACGTCTGCCTTATTTAATGGAATATTTATAATAATTAATGGGAATAGTTCCACGATTTCTCCCCCAATCGCTAAACTATGGCAGCTTAAAATATACAAAGAGGCTCAAAAATCAGTAATAAAAAATATAAAACATACTATAACAAAATCAGCACTAATTAGTTTGTTCTACATATGAGGTAGAGCTATAGCAAACTCCAAAGAAGAATAAAATATAGAAAGACTTTTGATGAAAAAGAGACAAATATCTTCAATGTAGTGTTTCAAAGAGATGTAAGGTAAGTCTCATAGGCGGACAAAATTAATTCATCTTTTAAATCAGGTAAATATCAATAAACAAAGTAGGTATATTTTGGATTAGGGTAAGTAGTAGTATATTATCATAGATCCGGTCTAGTAAGAAAAATGTTTCAAAAAACTTCAATAAATCATAAAAATGATTCTATAAATATGTGTGAATAAAGACTACCAAAATATTAGATATAGTGATTTAAATAACTGGTTCCAATAAATAGGTTTGAATATTTCTAGTCAAAAGCGTCTTCTTCTTCTTCCTCTTTATAAGCAATCCTACTTGTTCATTGGGGGATTAATACCTGCCTCTATGGAAGGTTGTCTATTTTGACGACACGGATCTCCTCCATTCCGCTTATGTGTTTATTTCATACTTTTTTTTTTATTTTTGTGTCCATTAATTTATAAACTGAACGTTAGATTTTCTTATAATGTCTTCACTTCTCTTTCGATCTCTCAGCGAATTTCCTGTAATTCGTCTCAGTACTCTCATCTCAGCTTTTGCGTTGTGGGTGTGTCGGGTCTTGTTTCTGAGGCATATGTCATTATTGGTCTTAAACTGGCTTTATAAATTATTGTGAGAAATCTAGTGATTTCTCAGTAATTTGCTTTATAACGAATTTTGCATCTGCACACGATCTTCCACGACGCAGACCCTGTTGTTCATTTGTTAAACTTATCCTCTGATTTATACTTGTAAAATTTTAGTTGTAACTTTAAGAGTAGTGTTTAACAAGCTTATATCTCTATAGTTTTCTGGCTGTTTTTTATCTCCTTTTTTGAATAGTTGAATTAGTTTGCTCGTTTTCCATTCTTACGGTATTTTATTGTGTTTTATAATTTTATTAATTAATGGTGTTAATTGATCTGTCATTGCTACTCCACAATATTTCAGTAATTCGTTTGATATCCCGTCTTTACCTGCTGCTTTTCTGTTCTTCAGCTTTTCAAGTATTTTACGAACTTCCTATACATTTATATTAAGTTTTTTATTTGTGGTAATTTCTGGTGTTTCCGATTCTTTCTAGCATTGTTTGTTATTCCCCTGCATAGAGCTTTTTTAAGTAATTAATCCACGTATCCTTTTCTATGTTTTTTGGTTCTATTAGTTCCTTTACCTCCATTCTTTAACCTCTTATGAAGCGCCATATTTCCTTTTGCAAACCGTAGAAATCATGTTTAATTTTTTTCGAAAAGCGGTTCCAGTGATCATTTTGTATTTTTGTTATAAGTGCATGTGTTTCTTTTCTAATTGTCTTGTTTTGTCAATTCAGAGGTTTGACATCCAGTTTAACTTTTACACTTACTATTCTTCCAGAGGTATATTTACATTCTTTTACCTGGTGTAAAAATTTTACGAATAGGGTGACTCCTTCTTTGGCTTTGACCCTTTCGTCTCTTGTAATGCGCATATGGCTCTATTTTTTTCTACAACCTCTTTTGTCAAAAACAAAGATAAAGTTTGTTTAGCAGAAAATAGTTGACTTCAATTATAGTTTATTTTTATGAACGAGAGAGTAATTAGCATAATTTTAACTGGTACCTTCGACCACTCCATGGGCGTGCTCAAGATTAATTGAAAAATTACTTTGAATAATTGTAAAAAATAAATGAATTATTCAGTGTTATAAGTGTTATGTGTATGTAAACAAAAGTGACCTCTTTTATCACACACTATATTAGAACTGACTGGCCTACATTAAAAAGGGTTTTAAAAAATTCACATTTTTTTTAATTTTTAAAAATTACAAAAGAGAAAAAGAGTTTTTAAAACAGTCTAAGGTATGTTAAATAGATGAATAAAAATATTAATATAAAACTTACAGCTACTTGTTACAAATCCAAATCAGATTCAGAAGATGAACTTTCAGAACCAAGATTTATAATAACTGGCTCGATCATTTTATCAGTAATATTGTCCAGCTTCCACATTTTTTCCTCTTCTTTAATATTGTGATTTACTGCCTTTTCCCAGTTTTCAGGTTTTACATTATTTACGGCCTCCAAAAACAACTGTTTAACATCATGAATTTTAAAAGTGGTATTTTTTCTTGAAACTTCACTCTTTATCTGTGCCCATACCAGTTCAATCGGATTTAATTCACAATGATATGGTGGGGTTCTAAGTACTGTCATTCCACGATTTTTGGCAATTTCATCAATTTCGTATTTTTTAAATTTTTCTTTATGAAGGGCACACAACGAATAAAGTTCCTTTCTTATAGATCCGGGATGGTACGTAATATTTTTTGAACTCAGCCAATTCTGCAAGTCTTTTTTTAACCACTTGGTTGTGGGCAGTCCTTCTATAAGTCTGGAGTGATAACTTGCATTATCCATTACTATTTCACAGTTCTTAGGAAGAAGATCTATCATTTGTTCGAACCATTCTTGAAAGACATCAGCGTTCATGTCTTCATGGTAGTCACCGGTACGAGTTGATTCAAAAGTTAATAAACCACCTTCAACAAAACCGTCTGAACTGCCAATGTGTACTAGTATCAGCCTGCGTCCCTTTCCTGATGGTGGGTTTAAACCAGTAGATAAGTTATTTACAAAAGCGTGCCTTTGACTTGTAACAGTTTCATCCTGCCAAAATTTATTTGGTGTATGACCCTCGTTGATCCATGTTTCATCAAGATAAAATATTTTTCTTTTTTGGTTTCTCATTTCCTTTATGGTTCTTAGAAAATGTCTTCTCCATATGACAATATCGCTTCTTTCTAATAAAATAGACTTTC